AACATATGAGGTTGTCTGAAAATTTTCTAAACTCTAGTTCATCTCAGGATATTTATTTCAGCTAACTTTTCACTGCATGGAAACTTTGATTACTTCTAAAAGTAACAGTTGGGCTGAATAAGCATGATACATTTTTCCAAACTGTATCATCTCTGGCTATTTCAAAGAAACCAAAATGAAACTCGCTGGCATAAGACAAACCTGCCGTAGTGCACTTTTAATCACTTTATCCTAAATTTAGTTGTCGTATTTACAAAAGCTGCAACTAAAATTATCTGTAAGTATCACAACTAATAAACTAATAGCTTAGATTACTTTTGTAAGAGAAATTAGATAATACTCCATAACCGAGAATATTTCACACCAGTAATGTTGAATAGACAACAACTCCCATTCCACTCAAGTTAACAGCAATATTGTGAGTCATGGTCTGTATCAGAGGAATTTCTTTGACAATTTCAGACAGAGGGCTTTTTCATGATAAATCTTTGCACCTTCCTCCAATGGCTAATGATGAATAGAGCTCACAGTTTCTCATCTAGGTCTTCTTACTTTGTACAAAACAAGGTCTAAAGCCCTCCTAGACCTTTATCAGGCTTTTGAATTCAATTTCCTTTTGAGTTTTGGTTTTGGATTAATCAATGGAAGAATCACAGTTATGATATTATTTTCTGTAACAGGAAATGATTTAAGATTTTCCAATATTTCTTTATTCTTTTCTCTAGCTTAAGTTCACCTTTCAGACTTTCATGTGTATCGATGCCCTTTACACAGCAGCATCGTAGTATTATTTGTACTGTCTTGCATTCAAAATATCTTTTGTCTTCTTGAGAAAGTTTTACTAGTTTTAGGTTTTATCAGATGAAAAAATTAAATTAAAAATATGTGAAGGCATAATTTTTTTTCTTGAGCAGTTTACTTCTGTAAACACATTTTGACTGCAAAGAGAATATTTCATAGTAGTTTTTAAATAAGTACAATCTTTTATCAGATACTGGTTATATTTTTTCATGTTTCTTACCTTTTTTTCTTTTTTTTAGATTATCTAGAAACCAACAGATCAGTTTAAACTCCACATACTTAAATGATTTTATTTAATTTGAATAGTTCTTAATTTATATTTCTAATTTAATGAAATTTTCTAGATAACTCTCTGCCCCTTTAAAAAACTCTTCTCCAATCTGAGTAATAATACTATTTTATCTTTAAAACATATCATTCAGTTATTTGTTTAAAATTATTCCCATTTCGTATTTGAGCTCTTCGATTCACACAAAATTACTGGAGCAAAGCCTCCTCTCTTGCTAACAAAGGTACAGTGGCACATTGTTAAGAAAAGGAAGACTGGGAAAAATGTGGGCCCTTTTTTTGCCTCAGTGTTCATCACCAAGTGCTCCAGGCACACCAGTTGCAGGAGGCAAGGCAGGGGCTGGGAGAATGACAATATCTCACCCTAGGAGTCAGAGAACATCTAAGAAACCTGAAGGTGCACAAGTTGATGGGATCTGATGAGCAACATTGGTAGGTCCTGAGGGAACTGGAAGATGAAGTTTCTAAGCAGCTATCCACCATATTTGAGAAACTGCAACAGTTTGGTAAAGTTTCCATTGACTGCAAAAGGGGAAACATTTCATCAAATGAGCTTTCTCTCATTTTGGGGGTATGAGGAACAGATTCTTTTCTAGAAACCTCATGGCCATTTCTCTTTTCTAGAAACCTCCTAAAGCTCTGATATCAGCTGAAGGAGATTATTCTGAGGAAAAATCCAATCTCTGAATAACACAGCAAATGCAAGCCAGCCATGCACCTTTCTCTGCAGTAATTGCTATGAGGAATGACTCTGCAGGTCATCCTGTCTTTCTTGTTGTGGTTGATTGGTTGGTTTTGGATTGTTTTGGAGGGTCCATTTAAAATGCAGTCCATGGTGATAAATTATCTATGATTTATTCATGTAGGTTTCAAAGATGGGGTAGGAGGACTTTGGGCAGAGTAGGAACCCACAAAGAGATACAGGATAGAGATATGAAGGGCATGCTCCTTCAAAGGCCATTAATCATAAGCTGTGTACACAGTAGAACATGATTTTCAACTCAAGATGTACAACCGTCACAAGGAGAGCTACAGGCACTGATCATTACTGTAAAAGTAAGGAAGAGACCCTGCAGGCCAGTTTGTCATGAGGCATAATAAACACCTATTTTGCTGTATGTCCCAAGAGGGACAATCTAGGTGAAAAGCAACAGCGTCCCAAAACTGTCAGCCAAAAGACAAAACTTAGTAGCACAAGGTACTGCCCCAGTAAATTAAGAAGGCTAAGCAGTATTACAATAAGCTTCTGGACTTTGTCAGGATCATAGAAGAGGGAAGGTGTCATGAAACATGATCTGTAGTATTCCTCTATGGCATCACAAAACATAGCACCTGGAACTTATGGTGATCTATTGTCATGGTTTTGTCCTGGGTCAATTTGCTTTCACACCCCCCACACAATTATTAATCAGTTGAGAGAAGGTTTATGCAGACAAAAGAGACTGGATTGGGGAAAAAAGTATGAGCATTTATTACTAGTATAATAAAAACTATTAAAGAACTATATCTACAATAATTTTACTTAAGTAAAAGGTGCCATGTATTTACAGAAAATACTCCTCCCCCCTCTTTTTATATTAGTCCAAAGAGGAGAAGCAGTTTCTGTCTCCATTCTCGGAGTTCCAGCTCTCTCTCCAGTAACTCTGCAGCGTCCTCGTCGCAGTTGGAACTCTTTTTCCTTCTCTGTGTAGGCCTCCAGGGCTGGGCCTACCCCTCTCCTGGGCTAAGACCGAAGGCTGGGGGTTACTCAGGTCCTGAAGGGTCTTTTCTTCCATGGACTTGTAAGGGGACACTTGCCTACTATGGATCTTCTTCCACAGGGTTACAGGGGATAAACGCTTAAGAGTCCACCCCTGTTTCCTATGGAGGTCCCTCCCCATGGGAGAACAGTCTTTGATAGACCTTTCCAGTATGGTCTAACATGGATTCTTTACTTGAATCCCTACATCTTATCCGGGCCGTCCTTGCTCCGGCATAAGTCTCTTTTTCAAGGTTACAAATCTTTAGCAGCAGTATGGATTCCACATATAGATCCCAACATCCCATCTGGGCCGTCTCGCTCCAGCGTAGGTTCTCTCAGGGTCACAGATTTCAGTAGCAGCATGGATGCCTCACTGAGATCCCAACATCTCACCTGAGCCGTCTCACTCCAGCGTGAGCCTTATCAGGTCTCTCATAAAGTCTCAGCTTCTTCATGCATCAGCTTACTCCAGTGTAGGCTCTTCCACAAGCAGCACGGGGGTCTTCTCACCCCAACAAACTTCTACAAAGTAGTAGGGATTATTTTTTAGTCTTTACCCTGCTGAAGGGAGAGAGTGAAAGGGGGGAAGAAGCAAGCCCCGCCCCCCTTCGCACTTCTCTTGCTGCAGCTTCCGCTGCCAGCTTTGACCTTGGAGGCTCCATTATCTCTTGCTGGAATTCTTCCACAGCAGTTTCTTGTCCAAGCAATCAGTCTTTCTCTAAAGTTTTTTATTCTTCACTCTCTTACAAAAGAAAAGGGGGGCTTCAATGCTACACTTACCTCCCAGCCCAAGCCGAGGGAGGAGGGGGCCTTGCCGCCTCTCTCCTACATGGCTGCCTAATTTCAACTGCCCAACCAAACTTTCTCTTCCATTTTTCTTAAATATGTAATTAGCAAAGGCATCACTGAAAGTTTTGATTGGCTTTTTGTCCGGAAACCCACTTGGACAAAACCATCCACAGTCCCAGGGATGGGCTGCTGGGCAAAACCACAACATCTATCATATGGTATTTTTGATTTTGTTTTTCTAAGCTGCTTCTTTTTTTTTTTTTAATAATTAGAGTATTGCCATTTCCCCTTGTCTTTTAAAGTCATATCTGGCAATCTGGTGACAGACTACGGAGATTCTTCTAGCTAGAGGACTCCTCACATTTTCCTCTCTCCTCTTGCCCTTACATTCCCCTTCCTACATCAGTTTAAAACTACTTAGTGATATGGTAATCTTTTTTGTATAAGTGTTTAGTCCTAGCCTGCTTCAGAGCAGATCAAGGGATTTCTGAAACCACAAACATCACACAGCAGTGTTGCTGCATTATGGTTACATAATGTACAGCCAACAAACCATACAAGCAGTGGAGTTCATGTGTATGATGTAACAACACAACTACTGTGCTCATGTCTGTTCAGCATCATGATTATTGATAGTGGCCTGAACTAGAGTTGTAATTAGGAGTTTTGATCTGAATCAAGCAATTACCTGAAGTGCTAAACTACACACTTTGCAGAACAGAGCTCTTTATTATCCGGGGTGCAGTAAAAGCAGAAGTTTTCTCAGGGTAATTTACTTTTGTATCTCAATCTCTGTTGAAGGAAGTTTAAAATTATAAACTTAATCAACCATTAGATATAACTCAAACTTTTACAACAACTGAGAACTTATTTAAATGAAAAGCAAAGAAAACTCAGGGCCACAAACACCGTTCTTCTGAAGAGAACAATAACATCTGGCACAACCTAGAACCCCATTTTAAATTTTACATTCTTGACTGCAGTGGCATTATAGAAAATATTATGCACACAAGCACATTAGAAACTGCATGAATATTACTAAAATCTTAGAGTATACCTGTCAGGAGGGTATTATTTTGCTGACTGAAAAAGATACTGTACATAGAGAAGCTGAGGCATAAAAGGGTTAAGTAAGTTGATCCAGTTCAAAAAGCAAATCCTTTGCAAAAACAGAACAAACTTAATCTCACAGCTTTTAGTCTGTGTCTTTCCCCTAAAATCGTTATTCTTCCCCTTCCAGTTGTTATTTAGGAGTGCAGTAGCAATATTGTTTAATTCTCTTACCCCTGACACAGGCTGTATTAAGAAACGTACTTTTGCAAACAGGAAACTTTTATTGACACATGAAATTGTGGAAATGAACAAAACCAGAGCAGCTTACCCAAATCCAGAAAACAAGCGACAGAAGAGGAAGAAGCCATAGCCCTGGACAAATGATGAAAGGAAGGCAAAGAATCCATTGACAGACATGCATATCAGGAGTGACTGTCTCCTTCCCACCTTGTCTGCCAAGCCTCCCCAGAAGAATGCCCCCACCATCATCCCAAGGTACACTATGCTACCTGTAATACACAAAAAAAGATATTGTTTTGTGAGCTACATAACTTGACCATAATTGATGACACCAAAACCAGCTAATCTTCTATATTTTCCAAAAAAATAGCAGACAAATTATTTTATCCTTTCTCATTGCATAGAAATTATATGCATAGTTTTGCAAATGTATCTAGGGAAAACAGATTTCCTACCATGTCTTTGTCATTTCTTACCAGATACACTGAAGTTTAATATAAATATTAAACCAGGTGCCTCTAGTTAAAACAATAAAAATGTAGGCAAGTAAGTTAGAATAGAGGGAGAAATGCCACTGCTTACTCAGTAACAAACTGCATTTATGTTAAATATTGCAAAAAATTGTAACTTCCCCTACCAAAACAATTTGTCTAAACATTTCTAGAAAACAAGCATTCTTGTAGGGGATTAATTACTGGGAGTAACATGTCTAAATCTAAAGAAAGGTGATTATGAAACAAACATTTCCACTTGAGATCTGTAGAAATGAAAAGGTCCGGCTGGATCTTCTTTTTCTCCTTACTACTTCAGGGTATTGCTTTATTTAAAAAGGAGATGTCCTTTACAAGCAAAAGCACTGTAATGTTCTTGATTCAGTATTTTGGGTTTTTCTGTTGTTTTTTCCCCCCAAAGAATTTTGAACAGGTACATTACAGTGTAGTTATATATATTAAAATGACACAGGTAAAAATATTTTTTTTTTTTAAATTAATGATGTTTTCCACATGAGGTACTTTCTCACAGAAAGGTAAGTTGAAATATTTAATATTTTGACCATTCACACCATAGTATATTGTACGTTATTTCCTTTCCAAGGACAAACTCCCAGTGGAAACACGTGACAAAGATATATAACACATTGAGCAGACTGTCAGAAGGAAAAAACAATTCCCAAGTTTTTGAACCATCAAATTTGTGTTTTGTTTGATACATGTAATTCTGCTTTCATTTACTTTCTTATTGAAGTTCCTAGGTTGGGTTTTATACATGTAGCATATTGCTACCATCTTACGCATCTGCTAGAGAGCAGACATTAACGATAAAGGTGGTGGAAGCAGTTAAAATACTAACAATCCTTGCTTTGTGTCTCTTTTTGATTAGTTTCAAGAATGGACAAATTCTTCAGAATCTCTGCTGAACTTAAATTGTTTTTGTGTAAAATTCTGGCCTCCCAAAGAATCATCTCTGGCCTGAAGAAAGTAGTTGGATGGGAAAGGAAGCTGAAACAAAACATTTAAATGCCTGGACTTGGTTAAACACATATTAATGTAGAGGTCAAACATCAGTGTTTCCATGCTTGGAATTCCTGGTGATAACATCTGAAGTGCTGACATCTGCAGAGTCTCCTGCACCCCAAATTGTCCCTGTTTCCCCTTATATTTTGTACAAGTAGTTTTCACTGTTCCATCCTTATGAGACATGATTTAAAAATATTTGATAAAAACCACATTGTGTTAAATGTATATTAGCAAGATCAGTGCTTAGGTTGAAAGGCTTCTCAAAGACCACCCAGTTTCAATCCCTCTCCCATGGGCACGGGCACCTTCCACTGGATCAGATTGTTCAAAGCCCCATCTAACCTCAGGACAGGATAACAGATCCATTACTGCTCATCACAAGAAAATTGCAAAAGAACAAACTCCTTAAGAAAACAGTTAAGTTTCTTCTCAAAATAACTTTTGTCAGTGGACATTTTCTAGGTGTTGCTGGGTTCTCAGTCTTTCACCAAAGAATGCTGATGAGAATATGGGTAAATACAAAATTTGCAGAATTACTAAGATATCTTTGTTTACTTTTCTCTTAGCCCAGCAAGAACACAGATAGTACAATACTTTTTTTTTTTTTTTGGTTTAGAGGTGTTTAGGAGCAGACATTTATCAGGTAGCTCCTTCATTCTGATCAGAAATTTTTATTTCACTGGTTTTTCATGAGAATGCACACAGCTCATGCATTTTCTGGTCCTAAAGAGAAAAAGACTGGTGACTCACTTAGCACATTCACTCAGCTGCTTTAAGATCTCTCCTGAGGTCAAGGTTACTGTACCATGTTGCAGGTGGATCACTGCATATTAGCAGTTTGGAAACTCCATCCCACAGATCCTACTTGTCAATAGCAGTTGAAAGAACATTAAAAAAATATAGTTAAACAGCTGCACTGCCAGTAGACTAATTTCAAAAAAGCAAAGAAAATGGTTGATTTTTACTCTTGAAGTGAAATTCCTTATTTCTTTGATATACTAATGTTGCCGGGCTTTCCCAGTCATCACTCTAATATAAGAAATAGAGAATGCCAATGAAATATTTCTCCATATACATAACTTTGAAATATTTTTATGCAAATAATCTAAATTTCACCAAGTAATTACTTTCCTTGTGATGCACAGAAATATGAAAACACTATGAACAATGAAAGAAAAAATGTTTCCAATTCTTGAGAGTTTAAAAACATTAACCTTTCTTCTAGATGACATATCTTTTGGTCTTTGTACTGTGCGTTGGACTCTTATGTTGGTTTAATTCTCCTAAAGAGCATTCAAAAGATTCTGCCAAATATAATGTTCTCATCCTGTCAATAAACTTCTATAAATAAGCTGCTCTCCCAGGCGCAGCATTAACTTATTCTTTCCCATTACATTAACTTAATTCATTTTACAGTAACTTAATTCAAAGTTAAAAAATTCTAACTGCCTTGCAGACCCTGCACAATCCCTCTCCCTGACCAAAGATCTGTATCTCTTCCATCCTGAAGCTACTGCTACCAATGACACTTATATCAATGCATTTTCCTGCCTTTTTCCTTTTCCATGTTTTTTGTCTTTTTTTATACAGAACATCACAGAATCATAGAATGGTTTGAGTTGGAAGGGACCATAATTTCATGCCTTCTGACCCTTATTCAAACTCTGGGCATCTCTTGTTGGCACTGGTACCAAACTATTAGGAGTGGGATACATTGAGGTTACTCCCTGCCCTGTAAATTTTAGTTTAAACCCTGTCTGCAGCCTGTAAAGGAAGTCCCCTTTCAAATCATTCCTTAAGACCTTTTTCCCTTGCAGCAGTATTCATAAGAAGTCATAAAAGTGACAAATGAAAAAGGAGAACTTTAACTATGAACTACGATGGTTGATTTGGAGGGGGAACCTTCAGGTCCTGGGTGTTAAACCATTCTCTGAAGCTCACACAAACCACAACAGAGGGACGGACGAAAGAGGAAGTTTATTGTGGGGATGTGGGCTTATAAGGCTTTTAGGGGGATAGAAAAAGAACCAATTACAGAGTCAGGGTACTACAGAAAAAAACCAATCAGGTAAAGAGTTAATAGCCAATAGAAGAGGGTTAACAAGGGCCAATGAGAAGACCTCAGGGTATCTTCCCAGGACATTCCTGCATAAGAGTTCTTTGCAGGGGGTGTCAGGAAGGAGATGCAGTGACTTTGCAAAAATACAGAAAAGCCATTTTAAGATATGTTTAAACAACATAAAAAACTTCTGTTTCTATAACATTTGAGCTGTTTTCTTCTTTTCCTTCACCAGTCCATCTCTGACAGGACTTCTTCCATCCTACATAGAGTAAATCCATTGCCACAATGAACACTTAAAATAGCTGAACAACAACACTACAAATGCAAGTAACCAATGAGATCAGATTATCACTTTATTATCATTATATTATCATAAGCTCATCCTTTGCAACCTTTGTAACTGCTGTTTATTATGCTTTCCACTGGCCAGAACATAAATCTCTTGAGAATAACACTAAATTTTTGTACACCTTTCATAAATCACATATTATATTTTGCATAAATTTACATATGTAAAAACTGAATACTCTTATGCCGTGCTAAGATATTCTCTTCTATTGTTCTTTTGCAAGGTTTTAACAACCTGTACTTTCTCTCCACAGAGAAATTCTACATACTTCACCAATTTTGCCCCATTGCATAAATGTACAAAATGCTTGCATCCTCTTCAGATGAGGGAATGTGAGTTTGGAATTGTTTTTCACTATGCACACACTTTGACTAGTAGGTGGTTAAGTATATTTTAAATGGGTGTGCACACAGCATCTTTCAGACTGCAGGCAGCAGCTTAGCCTTGCAAAGCAGCTAAACAAGAACTCCTTTGGTATTAAAATGCTAGTTATGGACAATCTAAACAATAACATAACAGTACATTCTTCATCAGTCACTGAGGTTCAATTAAACTCTTTGTGCTGTCATAACTTCATTACTTGCTGATATCTTTTGTAATTCATAGCCTGCTATCTAAATGATAGACATAAGCTTTTAAGAAATTAGTTTGTAAGTATACTCCACCAGGAAAAAATGCTGCAATAAAAGTAAAGTCAGACTTCCCTGCAACAGAGAGCTCAGAGGCTCTGGGTTTCACTGGTAGTTGTTCTTGTGCGTTAACGCAAGTAGCATGAAGTTGTTTTTTTCCTGTTGTATTTTTCAGGTCATTTGTCTGAATGAGAAATGTGCTTCCTACAGATGGAAAGTGTAATCTCATTATAAAAAATGCTTTACAGATAAGATTAAAATACTACTTGTATTCTGGAAAACACGATTATAAATGTGCTCCTAAGCCACCTCCATGAGGAGAAAAACACCTCATAGGAATTATGTTGTAATCAGTGCTTTATTAACTTGTATTAGGATTTTCCCATATGCTATTATTTAAAATATAACAATCCATGGTGAAGGAATCCAATGCTTATAAGTAGCACCATGAATACAAGAATAAGAATATCCAGATTTATCTTTATTTTAACACTGATAAACAGTATTTCTGAACTTTAAAGATGACAATCTATGACCTATGCTTAATTATAGTCCATTAATAGTTTCTTTGATCAGAAAAGACTTTGAAAAGAATCACAAACCATGCAGCAACTGTTGAACATAACCTTCAGTTAACTGTTTTTAATAGGAGGTAATTAAAGCAAGTACTTTTCCATTAAGAAAACAAATATAAGAGAGCTGTAATAACTCC